TCTCTTTTTTCTTGGTATTCTTTGTATTCGCTCACATATTCCGCAGGTAAAATTGATATTACCCCGATTTGATGTTCGTCCCAAGTATCATCATTCTTGTCATCGAAAAATTCTCTTGCATAATGACTCTCTATCGGTGCACCATTTTCTCCAAAGTTTCTGTAATGACTCCAATAGGGGATCCTTCCTCCTCTTCTCCAGGGCCTTCCTCGGAATCTTCTTTGGAATGTGGGGAATCTAGTGGTCGATCCATCATCATACGAGAGTCTTTCGAAAACATCGTTACTTTGAAGTATACCTCTTCCTCCTCGAGAAGGATACATCTCTCTTCTAATCCACTCGCCTCCGATTTTCACTAACACCGGAGCCAACGGATTTCGCTAACTTTCTTTGATCGTTGGTCGGACTGTTTGATCTACTTTGTCATTTTTCCTTTTATTTTGGTTCTCGATCTTCTTCATCTCGTTCCGTTCGAAAGCTTTGGCAGCTCGATTTATCGAACACCGCATTACAACGTGGGCATAATGACACATCTTCGTCTTTTTCCTTTTTCCTATTCAAAAATTCGATGAGAGAATCTCCCGATCGAGGGTATATTTCCTTTTTGAACTCTCTCTCGAATTCACTCGAGTCAAATTCCATATCTTCTTCGGACACGTCCATTCTAACGTGCTTAGGATCGATGTCTTCAGTGACATCTACCATGCCTATAAAGGCCGAATTTGTTAATCGGACATCATTAGTAATGCCTCGTTTGGGATTCGAGGTATCCAACTTGGGCCTCGAATGGACTCGTGTCAACTTTCATTGTCATTTCTTCGAACCTCAACCTTCCTTGGTCAATCGCATCTTGGATGGTGTTCCCGAAATGTATATAATTGTTAGTCCAATGTCCATACACATTATGAAATTTGCAATATTTTCGACCATTCCTTTGTTCTCGCAGATCAGCAGCTTATGATCATCACTCAACTTAATCTGTTTGTCTTTCAATAAAATATCAAAGATTTTGTCCGCTTTTGTTACATCAAAAGTATATGTTCGATTTGCCATTTTATCTTTTACTTCATTCTTTTGTAGCAATTTACGTGTATATGGAGCCCCTACTTTGAGTTCTCGCTAAGTTTACTTTCTCATCGACAGTTTCTTCGATATCACTTTCTCGTCATATTATCTCGTCTCATATACATCATTTATGTATGCTATTCTTTCCTTTTTTAGAGGTTTCTCATATTTCTTATACCTTTGTTTCTCATACTCGATTTGTTCCACTCTTCTCACTTTATCGCCTAATTGAGCCATGTCATTTAATGGTAAATTGACTAGTTTTTTCCTAATCGAGAATTCTAAACCCGCAGAGGCCATTCGACTAATTCATATTCAGGAATTTGAGTGAAACATCTCGATTTCATTTGTCTAAATCGATTCAAATAATCATCTATGCTTTCATGATTGTATCTTTTTATATTCATTAAGTCGATGAGACTCACTTGAGTTTCTCCTCTAAAAAATTGTTCATGAAAATTTCTTTCCAATTGCAGCCAATTATATATCGAATTAGGTGGCAATGACGTGAACCAAGTAAAAGCACTCTAAGTCAAAGAACTAGGAAAATATTTCATTTTTAATTCTTCACTCATCGCTAAATCCCCGCATTCGATCCGATATCGAGCCACATGCTCGATAGTCGATTCACCAACCTCTCCAAGCAAATTTAGTGAATTTGGGTACTTTATATCCTCGAGGCAATTCTGTCTCGAGAATCGCATTCGGAAAGGGAGACACAAAATATGTCCGATTGGGTGGTCTAAATTCCATCCCTTGTAAATTCATCCTTTGTCCCAACATATTATTCTGATTGTGTATGTTTTGAAATCCTTCGTTCAAATTCCCATAAATATCATTCCTCACATTTTGATACTCATTTCCCATACGCTGCTGTTGATCATTGTTTCTATTTCTTCTCAATAGATATGGGGGATTAATATTAGTATTCTGATTAGCATGATTTTCTATCCTCGTTTGTCGAGGCACAGCCAATGCATCCCCGATTCGTGACATTTGGTCTGCTAATATCTCAAAGCTAGCAGTAGTGTTTTGCACTAATGGATTTAAGACTGTAGTCAATTGTTGTGATAACATATTCACCATTTCAAAATTACTCTCATCCATTTGTTGTCTAAGTACCCCTAATGAATTACTAGATATTCCGGTACCCATATTTTCGATAGAATCAAAATTAGATCGATGATAGTCTCTATCGAATACATGTCTCCCATGATCTAAGTATCCCCTCCGATCTAGATTTGGAGGTATCCGTTGTGTGCCTACATTCTCGTCCATTCCCCGAATTCGGGGATTTACTAAATTTTGCGACGTCCCTAAATTCGGAGGGATTCCAAAATTTTGTGGCATACCTAGTGTTTGGGACATTCCTAAGTTATATCTCGAATTCCTATGCGTTGAAGAAGTTCCAACCCCACTCACATTATTAAGTGAAAACCCGGGCGGTCTTACACTCATGCGTGGCCCTACATATGTGGTTGTGGGATTTTCTATAGTTTGCATATTATTTGGTATCACCGTACTAGATCCTACTTGGGTGTTTGCTAATGTACCTGAATTTTGTTCACTACTCACAGGTATCGACATGCTCACAGTTGTCGATACTACAGGTGTGTTCCCATTATGACTTTGCCCCCCAATATTTGGTGGGTGTGATCCATTTAATCCCTCACTGTTACCCTGGTTATTCGATGAACTCTGACTCATGACCCTCTCACTCCTTAATCTCATACAATTTCGAACTAACCAATTTTGTGTTTCTCAACACAAGGCCCCCCTACCTGGCGCGCCAATTTGTTTCTGGAGAATTTCGATCGATTTCGATTCTAAGGGTATTTTGGTCTTTAATCGAAATCCTCCCACGTAAGCTCTTTTTACTTAGGCTAGCAATTTGATTTTCAATCGAAAACGTGTATGAGAATCGAAAATCACAGGATATCGAAAACGCTGTTTTTGGTGTTTTGTATTTAAAGTATCGAAAGCATTAAGACTATCGAATCGAAAAAGCAGAATGTTAAATTGTGAGGAAATGTAAAGTGCGAAAACCCCAAACTTGCATTAATTGTAAATAGCAAGAAATCAAAAACAACGCAAATATAAATGACAAGAAATCGAGATTGCAAGAAAAGTAAATGACAGGAAATTGAGATTTGCAGAATGTTAAATAACATGGAAATCTAAATGTAGAAACTCAAATTTTCATTGAATTGAAATGGACAAGGAATCGAAATACAGAAACATAAAACTGCTGAATTTAAGTTGCATCAAAGTAAATTACCAAGGAAAATACGGAAAGCGGTAAATGTACTCAGTGAGTAAGGAAATCCAGATTGCCAGAAGCTTCATGGTGTTCGTCGTTTCTCCGGTAGACTTGTCACTACTTATTCTGTTCTCTGCCAATTTCTCCTCCCCCTTTTTCCTTCCTCCTTTGTTCTATTTATAGGGTATCCTTCAAGCCTTCCAAGAGCAGTTAACACGACTGCTACCACGTTCTACGTGCGTATGGCCGTTTATCTTCTATAGTTTCCCACGTTCTTCACGATCTCCGACTTTTTCCCATGATTTCAAAACTGCTCTTATACGTGCATTCGACTTACTTCCTTTCACGATTTGGCCAAAGTCTCGATGTCCACATTGGTTTTCCTTACTCTCGATTCTGTATTTTTCGAGAACTTCGAATTGCTTACGATTCCTTTTTTAACTCTGATCTTACATGACTTAGTTTTTATTCGACAACAGTCATTTGATTATTATTCATTCGATTCTCGATTGTGCTTCTCGATACTATATGCTATGTATTTCTAATTAGACATCGAATGAATTTTTGTTTATCTTATCGAGTCACATTTCTTTCCTTCGATTTCGATCGCTTTTCTCGATTTACCACTAACACAAATTAATTACAATTCCTTTATTAATTTTACTTTACTTTTCACTCCTTTCTTTTTATCTAAACAAGTTCAATTTTTATTCTCATCCTCTCTCTCTCTTTTTTTCACTCATTTAAGTTTATTAAAAGCATTAGTTTCCCACATATTGATTATTATACTTAAAACATTCTTGAACGTTCAAAGATAATAAGTTAAGATAAAATCTTTCTTTTAATCCACCGTAAATTCCTTTTTCCTTTCTCAACTTTGTTAAATAAAGTAATTTTAGTTTAACTTTAAGAAGAAACATGTTTCATCTAAAATGCTTGAGGTTTTAACTAATTAGGTGAATTGGTAATTTTGATTTAACTCTCAAAGTAGTAAGAAAGAAGAGATAAAAATGTATTATTTTGTGTATGAGTATGATACAGTGTGACTGAGTGTATGATGGATGTTAGTGACATTTATATTTCAAATATAATAAAAAGCCATATAACGAAGTTTTGTAATACACCATGTGATAAAGTTATACTTTCAATAATTTGTTATTAATATGCATAGTCATCATTAAACTTAAAAAAAAAAAAATATATATATATATATATATATATATATATATATATATATATATATATATATGAAAAAATAGCTCATTGCATAAAGTTATACAGTTTAAGGAAGTTAGAAATAAATAATATAAGTTTTCTAGTAAAAATTACGCTAATGTATGAATAATATTTTGTAATAATTTTCGTTCGCGTTTGTCTCCGTTTTATTGTTAAACACGTGGCTGGGTGGATTTCATGGTTGTCTCATCTGTACTGCAAGTTCCATTTGTTTCGTTTCGAGTTTTGTTAGGACGGTGAGATGTTAGAGCGACGTGTCTAATTAAAGTGCACGCCCACCGTAGTGCACGAACCACCTGATCCACGCCCTCCAACCTCCCCTTACCCTCTTGCAATTTGCAATCAAAAATTCGAAACCATAAACCTTGTCACACAGGTCACAATCTCCGATTCCCCCCTCTTTTTTCTTTTTTTTTTTCTTATTTTAAAAAAATAGAAAATGTCATGGCTGGCTCGCTCCTTCGCAAATTCTCTCCGACTCGATGGTGACGGAGACGACGAAAACGTCATCGTACTTGATCCACCTACCACGTCATCGAGTGACCTCCCGCAACCGCAAGAACTAGAAAATGCATTCCGATCAGAAGGAGAAGAAGATGAAGAAGACGAAGATACGGAAGGGCGTGGGGTCAAAGAGGACCTCGACGAAATCAAGCAAACCCTAACTCGTCAATTTTGGGGGATGGCCTCCTTCCTCGCTCCGCCGTCAACGGATTCTCTTTCTCATGCACAATCCGATCCCTCTTCGTTCATCTCCGATCAATTCAAACACCGGTCTCTTTCTCAGAACGAAGAACCGCAATTAGATGAGGTTTCCCATCGCTCTAATTCGGTTTCGTTAGGATCCGATTCGGAAGGGGATTGCCGTCTCGAATGTTGCGCGGTTGGAATCACGGAGGAGGTCTTGGCCTTCGCGATGAACATTGCTATGCATCCTGAGACGTGGTTGGATTTTCCTATTGATGAAGAAGACGATACTGACGGTAACTTCTTGCAGACACTCATTGGAGAGAAACGATTTATTTTAATTGGATCCGATCACAGAACGATTAATGCACGTTTTTGGATTTTTAATTGGTTGTTGTAGTGATAGATAGATCGGATAGCTCTTGATTGTTGATCATAGCGTATGTTACATCTTAAATGCCTCGTAATTTAGATAATAATGCCTTGACAGTGTTAGTGATGCTTGGTTTCTCGTGTTGCGTGATTTAATTGGATTCTTTTACTAATCCGTTACATGCTGTATGAGATTTTGACGTGGTGAATTCTACTTGTAGATTTTGACATGTCTGATGCACAACGAGAGCATGCAGCGGTTGTTGAAAGATTAACTCCTAGATTAGCTGCGCTCAGAATTGAACTATGCCCTTGCCATATGAGTGAAAGTTATTTCTGGAAAGTATATTTCGTACTTTTGCATTCAAGGCTTAACAAAGAAGATGCAGGGGTTTTGTCTACACCCCAGGTCAGTTACATGGGATTTGGCTTTTGGTTTTCATGTGGCACTTTTAATCACCTTCACCCTGGGTTTTTTAATCTATTGGAAGATGTTGATGAAGTCGTTTAAAAATGTTTTCACCGTTTATATTATGATTGTCTGAATCCTTTGGACTAGGAATGAATGTTGCAAGCTTGTAGTTTGAAAATACATGGTTTTCAAAGTCACCTGTCGGGAATATACTTGGGAATTAAATTACCAGATAAAAATTAACAATCATCCTTTGCGATTAAGTTGGAAATATTTTGGCGTGTGTATAGTTGTAAAATATAAGTGATCAATGGAAGTAATAAACCAGGCTATTGATATGGAGTCCAAAAGTTACCGTACAGCTGCATTTATATCTTTCATTCATGCTGCTCGGTCCATGTATGTACGTTGTGGAATTTGATCATTTGAGCTATATATATATATATATATATATATATATATATATATATATATATATATATATATATATATATATATATATTACAGTTCAAAGTCTTTCGCAGAGGTTGAAGTTATTTTATTCTAGAATTTGCAGACTTTGTACTTTCTGATTTGTTATTTTTATCAAAATGAAACTATTTGAGTCTCTTATGATTTTGTCTGTGTGAATTCTCTTTTGTCAATGGAGATGTAAGCAATATTTAAATACCTATGACATTTAAGACCTTTTTGGACAAATTTCTCTATAAGAATTTCTAGGAGAAAAAAACTTGAAGAAAATAATTGAATGAGCTTTTCTATAGGTCAAGGTTAACTTATGCATAGTAAAAAAAAAATTAGAGATGTTATGTGAGAATTTTTTACAAATTATTTTATGCACAAGTTTAATTTTAGTTCATTTTATGTGACAAGCTAATTTCATTTTTTTTCTTTTCTAGAATTCATAACGGAGAAACTCATCCGAAAAAAATCTCTGGGAGATTTCTTTGGATTGAAAAATATATTCTCGTTACCTCTCCATCTGTCTTTCTGGTTTCTCTTTGGACTTTCATTAGCGCAAATCTATTTGTTATGCACTCCATTTTATAAAATAAAATTATTCTTTTAGTTATCTTCTCATTTTATACAACATATTGAGCGATGCATTTTTATTAACTTGTTATTCTCTATTATGAAAAGTATATTGTTATCGATGATGTAAATATGTAATCCGTCTGTACTTATTGATGTCACTGGTACATGTTGTTGATTTGACATTGTATACAATTGATACGTGCTTATTGTCTGCATTCTTCTAATATTCTGTCTCATATTTAAAAAAATAGACAAACAGTAAGCCTTGGGAAAAAAATTCTACCTTTTTTATATATAATGTATCTATAAATTTTATTCTCTTATTTGACTTATCACAGTTATGTATTATGATTGGATGGTTAATAATTTAATTGGTTACATAAGTCGATTTTTATTCCAAACTTCAACTGTTTATAACTTTAGAAAACAGTATACTTTTAAATTGGAATAAGTTGGATCTGATTTTTATTCCAAACTTCATATGTTTGTAACTTTTGAAAATAGTATACTTTGAAATTGGAATAAGTTGGATCTATTATTTTTCACTATGAAGACAATTTTGTTTATTTATTCAAGTGTGCCTTTGCTTAGGTTGGTTCAGTGATCATCAACAATATTGTTCTCTAATGTTCATGTCTAATGTTTACTTGCACTTCTACATTCAGCTAGTATTGTATATCTATCTTAATATGTAGATGAACTTTTCGGATATCTTAGTTTTAACTCTTGCAGATCACGGCAGCCAGAGCAATGTGGATGCAGGAATTGCATAAACAAACAAAACCCGACTTTAAAAATTTTGGAAGAAGTGTTTCCTACTCAATAGACAGGCACAATGAATTCACTCCCAGCTTATTGGATGATGCTTATTCTGATGACAGACCTAGTCAGACGTATGGATATAGAACAACCTCGTTTTCCATGAGGTCAGATTATGAGACTGAGAAATACATGGTTGAAACTTCTGGAACGCATTTCACTGATAAGTCTGTTATTGAGGAAAATTCAATTATTAAAACTGAAAACACGGATCTGAAATGTGGCCGACCCTCTCAAATTATTATTGAGGATTACGATGATGAGGATGACGATGAATGGCCAGAGGAAGATTCTGATTTAGAGGGATATGGTGGAACAACTCACCCCATATTTAATGCAAATGAAGAAGACATATCTTTTAGCGACCTCGAGGATGATGATTATGGCATTAAACATGTTAGTTCCTGTACAGAGGGTTCGAAGTTGGTATGAAAACTTCAATCCGGACACGATTGTGGTTATTTTGGGCCAGTAGATCCTCACTCAGCACTAAGAACGGTGAAGAGAGTTGTCTGATGTTTGGAAAAGCGAAAGTGCTGGTGTCTGGAACATTCTTTTGTACATATAGAATGGTGAACGAAGTTGATAAAATGCCGTGATGCTATGTGAAGGTGTAAAAAGAACTTGTCTATCCTCTTTTCCCCACATCTTTTGCCGTAAGGCTTGGTATGGGTTCTTGTTGCATGCTGAATTTGGAATCAACTCATGAAAAGGAAAAAGTGGAGCTAAGATTGTGATTTATTTTAATCCCCTTTTTTAGAGATCCAAAATGAGATTGTGGGATGAAATGTATGCTACAGTCTGAAGGACAGCTCTCTTTCAGAAGGTACATCAAATAGATGCAAGTAATGTATATAGAATCTTTCTTATTTGTGCTCAAAAATAGATATTGGATTTTTTTTCATGTACTTTTGGCGGTTGTAGTAGGGTTTGGGGTGCTCTTGTTCCTTTTTTTATTGAGGTGTCGTCTCCTGATTGCCTTGCTGTCAACAGTGTTTTAAAACAATAAAGTGATTATTTGAACAACTTTGAATGATCGGATGGCATGATATTCCTGTAATTATATACACTTCTACCTATTCTCCTCTCGTTAACCGAAGGTCGTAAATTTGGAAGACCGGATTTTACAGTGCGTTTGTTTCACGAAATGCAATGATTTTACGAGTTTCAACGGAAAAAATTATAAAATCGAGACAAAAAACTTCGGCAAAGAAAGGGCGAAGAAAAGCGTAAAAAGTGAATTTTTTCTTGACATAATCAATTATATCATTACCATTAGCATAATGCATTATGTTAAAAAGAATTAATAATATATATTTATTTTCTTATTATAATAATAAATAATTAAAAAATAATTAATAATAAATTAATTAATTAATTTAATTTGTCACTTATTTCTTTTAGTTTAAACAATCCTAATTTTTTTTTCATTTTTTTACTCTTAAAATTCACTCTTCAATCCGTTTTTATAATTAAGTTCCATCGTATTTCTGAAATATATAGACTACATTAATAATCATTATTTCATTATTAAAAAGATAATGAATGATTGATATTTCAAGTTTTGCCAAAAATTATATATATATATATATATATATTTATATTTATATTTATATTTATATTTATATTTATATTTATATTTATATTTATATTTATATTTATATTTATATTTATATTTATATTTATATTTATATTTATATTTATATTTATATTGAAGAGAGCATTTCATGGGGAGATTCTTTAGTATTGTGGGAATCTTAAAGTATGAACAACGAACCTAATTATAAAACAACTTCTTTCTCCCTAAAATATGTAAGAATAAAAAAAATATCAAATATTCCATTAAATAATACATAATAAAATTTATATAAATTAGCTTATTTGATTTAGTTGTATCAAATGTTTAACATATTTTTTTCTCAACTTTGACTTGACTCTCAATGAAAACTCCTTTTATATTTCCTTTATCATTTGTCAACTATTAGCTAGTTCAAATTCGTAAGTTTTTTAAGGCTAAACTATGATAATATGAGTCAAAGGTTGAAGTAATAAAAGAAAAAAGACAAAGTAGGAGAAAATAAGATAGAAATGTCAATATTTTGCAGAAGTTTGAAATTTCGGAAGTTATGAGTATTGATAATGTAGAACAAAAATATATTTTAAATTATCTCTCAATCATCATCTTACTCCTCCGTGTTATACATTGAATTGGGTAAGAAAACATTTACTTCTCTACTTTGAACCAGTCGAGTTTAATGAAAAAAGAAAAAGAAAAAATGAAGGTCTTTGTTGCTCCCTCCCTCTTCGGTAATTCAAAAATCTCAATATACCCATTATTATCTACTTTTTGTTATTACATGGGAGAGGTAAGAGATGAAAAACATTGAATAGAGTAGTTTTGGAATTCTTTGAATTAAAGTTATTATAAATAATAGTTCCAAAAATATTGAAAGCAATTCTCATAAATGTCAATGAAAACAAATTTTCAAGAGAGTTTCGAAGTGTATTTTCTCTCATTTAAAAAATATATAATCTAAAATTACTTTCTAACTATTCTAAATTATTTATAGTGTATGCCAGGTTATTTTTTATATTAGTTTGAATTTGTTCTGAAATATTATTTTTATTATAACAGTTTACGTACCTGGAGGAGGAATTACGTAAAGATATTATGAAGCTACGAATTTGAGAAGGGTTGTAATTGACCTGTTTTGTATGTTAGGTTACTTCATTTTGAATGATTAAAAGTGTTTAGGATAAGGTTTTTTCTTCACTCAAATCCTTAAATTATTTCATATGAAATAGTGTAGGAAGTGCACTTACAATGATGGTAGGTAGAGGAAAGTGCACACGATCTGTGATTCGCGGAAAGTATTCAGATGACATATAATTGACAAATCATTTTAAAAAGTTGTTCAAATTCGATTTAATAATAAATAAATAAATAAAAACATGTAGAGAGAATATGAACATTATTATATATAGCAATGTACAAATCTTAAAATTAGTGACAGTAAATTGATTATTTTTTATTTTTATATATATAGAGAATAATTTTAATAATGAAAAGTTAAACAATTACTATATTTTTAGTACAAATCCTTCCATTTAGAAGCTAGCGAGTGAATAGGTTTGGATTATAATTTAATAATTGGCACTGAATTGCATTGAATCCCGTTTATTTGAATGGTGATATCTTCAACAACCCATTTTTTGGCGCGGTATCTCTCATTCGTTCCCAATTGCATGAGTAAGTCTTAGTCTCCACCTTTTGATAAAAAGAAATCAATGAATCCCAACCATGTGAACCAACCAAGCCTATCACAAATTTCCTCATTCAATCTATTGAACAAAACGAAAACCATTCATTACTCACCCAAATCAAAGTTCTTAGTAGAAGTGGTTGTCAAGACAGAGAGGTGATCTTTTCCCTCCAACAAATTCTGATTTCAATAACTAACTGCATTTATTTTCGCTACATTCATCTTCTCCTTTCATTTTTCAGTTCAATTCCAGATCCGCTGTTAACTACTACTTTATCTCACGAACCAATCTCACATCAATACAATCCCTAGGGTTTTCACTTCCCATGGACCTTCCGCTTCTCAGAAACTGTCTCCATTTTTCCAGAAGAAACAAAAAATACCTTCTCCTGTTTGCCTTCTTCGGTGCCTCCGGTTATGGCGCCTACAGGGCCTACAATTCACCCTATGTCGTTCACAAACGGCACCGTATTGCCAAGCTCCTCAGAACCTTCGTTTCCGTCGCCGAGTTAATTTCAGATTCTGCAGATTCCATTACTGTTATCTCTAACGACTTGCACCGATTCCTCGCTTCCGATTCTGATGAAATCCCCAACAGTTTGAAGCAGTTAGCTAAAATCGCGAAATCGAAGGAATTCTCATCGTCGCTTGCTAGGGTTTCCGAGGCTGTGACGCTTGGGATTCTGTTAGGGTATAATTCACGGGCGGGTAACCATAATAACGGTGTTAGTCCCTCGGAAATCACCTCGGAAGCTTCTGGATTCTCGGATAGGTTGTTAGAGAAGCTTTTCTCGAAGGCTGGGACGGGTTTTGTGTCCGTTGTGGTTGGGAGCTTTGCGAGGAACTTGGTTTCGGGTTTCTTCGGCGCTGAATCGATGGGTGAGAGGTCCCAATCGGAGGTTCCTAGATGGGTGAATGTGATTTGTGATGAGAGGTGTGGGAAGCTTATTGGGGATTGTGTGCAGATTTTTGTGAGCACTGCGGTTGCTGTTTTTCTTGATAAGACGATGGATGTCAATACTTACGATGAAGTGTTTGCCGGGTTGTCGAATCCCAACCATCAGGAGAAGGTGAAGGGGATTTTGGTTTCCATGTGTAATGGTGCTGTTGAGACTTTTGTCAGAACTTCGCACCAGGTTTTGACAAACCGGAGTGCGAGATCCAATTCGGGTTTATCTATGTCTCCTGTTGTTGTTCCGGCTAGTGAAGATGGGTGCCTGAAACAGGAGGTTTTTCTGCAGCAGGTCAGGATTGGAAGCTCGGTTGGCGGGGTTCAGGATGTGGGGTGGCTTGAACAGATTAAGTCAACGCTGGCGGTGCCAGCAAACCGAAGGTTTGTGTTTGATGTCACGGGGAGAGTAACGCTGGAAACGGTGAGGTCATTTGTGGTGTTTCTGATGTGGAGAATATCAGATGGATTCAAAAGTAGTGTTAGTAAGCTTCATGATGAGGTAGTGAACAAAGCACTAGAAGTGGTTAGATATATTGGAGCTAAGTCATCGGTTATTTTTACCTTGTGTCTTGCTTTGTATTTGCATATTGTGGGTGGTAGTAGGATTGTTTTGCCTGCGTAGTATGTCATTTGATCTAACCTCTTCATTGTAATGCAGTTGGAATATAATGGCAGGAAAATCAGATGTTCTAGTTAGGTAGCATATATATGTTTTCAGGTATCAAATTTGAGTTCATATTTCAGTAAACTCTTGCTGAAATGTTCAAGTTACTGCTTTTAGTCTTTTCTCCACATCCAAAAATAAAGGCAATGGTTTGAGCCATCTTGCCCAAATTTACATTGCTTCAATGCTGGATGCATATAACGAAACACCACGGAAAATTTGGGTAGTTATTTTATGCTTCTTTCTTCAATGGAAAACAAAGTAAGTTGCTCTATCATTTTTATATCTAATGCATATTCATCTGCAGCAGTATACGAATAACGGTTTTGTTAGCATCAACTTACTACGATTAAGTAATATTCTTCCATCTATTTTTAAAATTTATAAATAATATTCTCCTAATTAGCCTTCCCTCCATGGTACACTTGTTCTTATTCATAAAGCCTAGGTTTAGTATATTGTTTCTGTTTTTATATGGCAATATGCAATTTTCCTTTCTCTATAAATTTGAGTTTTAGCAGATTTGACTCTCTGCAACTGCTAACTAACTGACTGCCTGGTTTGTATCTAAATAATTTTGAGATTGTTGATGTTATCAGGTGAGTTTAGCTTATCTTACCGCTAAGCAGCAAACTTAGGTTTGTCAATTATTTGTATGAGCAGCTAACTGCATACTTATTGTGCCCTGATACATTCTTCTCTAAAAAGAATATGACGTGCACATGCGTGCTTTACATTCTTTGCATTGTTAATATTATTAATCTGTATTGTTCTTGTTCATGCATTCTATTTCTTGCAATGGTTTCTTTAGGATTAGATAAGAAATCTTATCATGAAAGTACTCTTACATTTAATTACTTCTGTTGAATCAGTGACATTCTTTTCGAGTCACCAGCAGTTTATAATCACTTTTTTTTTTCTCTAGGTAAGACAATTAAATCTTAAACCATGGCTACTCATATCCCACCCTGCCTTGATTTCGATGGATAAAATATGCTTTGGCTGAGTATGTTTAGGTCTTTCCCAATTTGCAAAAGTGGGAGGGTTTGTGTATGTATCTACCTGCTCCTGAACACCTTAAAGTCACACGAGTATGGTGTACCTAGTGAGAGATGAGAGTTATGAAGGTGTGCTGTCAATATTTACTCTTCTCACCTTTGATACTTTCTCACCCTCTCTCTCTCTATATTTGACAATACACATGCGTATGTTCTCTCATACTCATTTCTTATAATTATTGGAAATAATAATTAAATAGTGAAGTTGAAATCATATATTCAGTTCTTAGGTTTCTTATTTTAATGATTCATTTATTTATCATTTGAATTAAAATGTACTTGACCCTTACGAAGATGGGCTAGGTTTATATTTTTCATACCCAGCTCCTCCAAACCTGTAACTTCAGCCGGGGAAGCAAAATCTAGACTAGATTCATCCCAAATTCATACCTGGTTTTCATAACTCTACTCAACATTATTGTCCGCTATTCATGTCAGCCTGTCTTTTATAAAGTGGGCCTTGTGACTTCTATTATTCATGTCAGCCTGTCAGGCATTCCAGTTCTGGGGTCAATAGGGTACGAGTTATCTTCAATGCTCTTACTCGATACTGTTGAATATATATGATATTTTGGTTCTTAGGATATGCCAATGCAACTCTCTCTAGCTGATTAGAGTATTATAATTTGATTATTTGTTTCTCGAAAATTGACTAAGCTGTAGATTTCTGTCCTCTTTTGCTACGAATGAGATGAGTTTTAAGACTTAACACCTAAAAACTTTGTAAAAATCTGTGGGAGTGAGGTTGTCTTTTCGTATGATTATAATTTGCTTGCTTCTCTGGTTGGCCTGTTTTCTTTAACTAGCAACCTCTACCAGATAGATTCTATTTGTAGCCCGGTTAAATTTTCTTGCTAGTTTGCACAACAAAACTTAACTAGGAGTCTAGTTTATGCCATCAGACTTTTGGCATTTCAGAACCAATTACGTTAGAGACAAAACTAGGAACCAATTACATAATAGAGAAATTGTCACTGCAAGTCTGGATTTTTCTCGGAAAATAATGTGGCCTCGTCGTATCCCTTGGGGCTCTGCTAGGCAGTTGAAAATATTTTTGTACACTACTATGTCAACGAATTTGATGTATTCGGCATGTGTGCTTCGTTGACGTGCTTAGCATGTGACATTTTTATTTGTCTCCAGATTGGTTTATTCATTTAAATATGCTTAGACAAATTTGTTATATCGAAATGAATTAGAGATTTTAGGAAAAATAACTCGTTATTTTTGGATTTCTTTTGGATGAGATATTTTGTAATTTTGAAGAGCTTTAAATACATTGAATTTGAACTTTTTTTTTCATTTTAAACGATTTATTTTTTATATTTAATTTATTTTGATAAAACAATGTAATTGATTTTTTTTTGGAAAAATATTTTAAATATTATCAAATATAAAAATTATCATTATTAAATTTGTGAATTGGGTTTAACTTATATTATTTGTCTTTTAGTGGGTTATATTAGATTGAGTTAAAATTATCACAAACTAAATTAAGACAAATCATACTGATAAAGTTGGGTTTAGTCAAGAAAATTTGTATTAAGTTAAATCAAGTTAGATTGACAAATTAGAATGAGTCGACTTAAGTTTGAGGTGGTGTTGAGATGAGTTAAGTTGAATTAGGATAGATTAAATCCTGTCCAGTTAAGTTTGGTCAAAATGGATTTAATCACAATTAAATACGATAAGTCAAGATAAGAGGTTGGGATAGGAAAAAATAAGATGTATTGGGTTAGAACAAGATCAATTGGGCCAAGGTTGGGTTTTGGTGGACAAATTTACTTGGGATGATTGATCGAATATAATTAAGAATGATCCAATTAGGTTAGGATAGGTCAAGTCGACATGAGTTGATCGAGTCATGGTGAGTTAGATCAGGTTAATATATAATACATCATATTGAGAATGATCGAATTGAAATATGGTTATAACATGGTTTTGATTCTAATCAAGATAAGGTAGGTTGAGTCGGATATGGACAAATCATATTTATCTACATCAAACTAAGATAACACATTAAAATGAGTCGAGATAAGTAAAAAATATTTCAATCAAAATTGAGTTAAAATAAATATATTTAAAAATTACTTTTTTTACTTTCTAGATAAAATTTGAAATATTAAGTATTTAAAATATTCTCATCAATTTTTAAAATTTTAATTATTTCTTATTTTAATTGCTTTTTAAGTTTTATATGAAAAAATCAATATTATCATGAAACATTTTTAATATTCTATTAAAATAAATTATCTTTTATAATTTTTTATAGCTTTTTCATCAGAATATAAGGTTAAGTTTTGTGTCAATAATTTTACCCCTTAAACAAAATATAATTCATTTTAAAAATTATAATTTTGAAGATTCATTATTTTTTTATAATAGTTTATTTAGTTTTTCCGATAAATGATTACATCGGGTTAATTTTTTGTTTACTTTTATATCATTTAATAACTTCTTAAAAATGTGAAATTAATGAATCAAAATCCTTATAAAAATATATCAAGTTTATAAAATTTCATGTAATTAAACAAATATTTGGACTAATAATATTATTTATAATATAACTAAATATTTATTATTAACTAACCTATCGATAAATTTTCAATCTGAATTTAACATATATGATTAATTAGGGATGTTTATGGGTGTAAATATCATGATCTTGAACTTGGTAGTATAGTACTTTAAGAATTTGAGAATTCTATTAAATCTAATTAATTTTTTTTTTAGTATTAGGTTATGGTTTCATCCAATCCATTAGTATACCATATTTATAATGTTAATTTATTTTGTATGTATATTTATTAAAAATATGGAGAGAAATTATATATATTAAACAATTTTTTATTTCTTATCTTTATTTTTTGTCTTACTTTTTTTTTCAAAAGTTTTCTAAAGTATCGTTAAATGAAGAATTTATCTACAAATTCCTAAATTACTTTTTTAAATATTATAAATATCGATATTATGATTAAGAATTTTATTTTCTTTTAGTAGTAATAAAATCAGTATAAATCCAACCTACAGACATTGAAATGAGAGAAAAGATAAATTATTTAAAAATGTAAAATAATTGATTGTATAATAATATATAACTAATTATTATATTAATATACTGGATGGTCAATATAATCGGTTGTTATTCAATCTTTTATTACAGACTTCTTCTTTTTTTAAGTAAAAAGGAAGAGTGCGCAAAAATATTAAAACATAATATTTTTGGAATTAAAAAAACTCGGTAAAAGAGAAAGAGCAAAAGAAATTGTTTTCAAAGATATTAATTGTAAAAATAACATGAAACAATCATAAGAATGTATCTATTGCGTCTTTCTCTCAAATCACAAAGTGTAGTTACCTCACTGCAATATTTAATTCCGTCGTCCCGTGCAGGCTGCGCCATCCTTTTCACAATAATAGAAACAAATTTATAATCCAATCCTTTTATTTTATTTTTTAATTATTTGTTCATTTGCTTTTTTAATTATTTGTTCACTTGCTTTCAAGAAACAAGAAAAAAAAACATTGAAAGTAATATCCTTTTAATTAATTGCAATAGTCCAACTTATACTGCCATTTTTTTTCCTAAAGATACAGTTCACTCTTTATTCTTAAAAACAATAAGAATTCTTGGTTTTTAATTATTTTTTTCCATGTTGAGTATTTAATCCTTTTTGTATATTTTTATCCATTTTTAATTTTATATTTAAATTTCATCAAAAATTTAAATTGATATATTATATCAAATTGTAAACAGTTTAGCATTTTAAATCCTCTAAAATTTAATAATATCGTAACTTTAATTGATATCCATTTAAATTTAATTTTTCATAAAACATATTAATAAAAAAATGTAAATTAATTCAAGTAATTCATTTAAAAAATAATGTATTTTTCACTTTATTATTTATAATAAAATACAAACCTTCTTTATTTATTTTATTTATATATTTAATGAAATTTAAAGACATTTGTGTAGTACACGAAAAAGGCCATTGTAAAATATGTTTCAATTTCATTTCACAATATAATACCTTTTGATAAGTAGCAAAACAATATTTTTTTGCCCAATAAACTTTTTTCCAAAAATAAAATCCCAAAACCAAACCTAATCCCAAATGTTTACCCAACGGGACCAGTTATTTTTAAGCTCAGAACTGGGCCATTGAGAAATCTAAACAGATTGAATTTCAGCTTCTCAGAGGTTGAATTTACTATAGTTACTTCCAAAAGTCGCATTTGCAATCCATTTTTACACCGTGTTTGTCTAAAAAAATTGCAAAAAATAAAAATAACCCCCTTTTTGACCTTTAGATTGAGGCGAGGGTTGATTTAAAAAATATGCATCAAGTTAGAATCCTAGAATGTCTCATTTTACAGAGTAGGTAGGTGATGGGTTAGCAAATACAAGGAGTGGTGTGGTAAGTATCCATTATCTAGTGGGGTAAGGTAACCCATGATTCTCCACAAATAAAACGTAATTTTGTTCTATACGCATCAAAAGCAGTCTTCCAACCTCCAAAGTTGATTGAGAGAGATATATAATCTAACACAAAAATATGAATCTACAGTCTCAAAATGTCTTCACAAATCCCCACTCCAACATTTTTTCATTGATGGAGAAATACTTGTCAACGTAAATTGTGATCAAATTTATGAAAAAGTTTAAAAAATAGGTGTCTCTAGCGTGTATTTTATGTCAGATACAACGTAACAAGAGTATATCGTACACATTATTATGGCGTATTTTATTACATTTTCTTACGACATTTAGAAAAGCACTTAATTATTAATATTTTATATAAAACTCTATTGTTATGATTGATTAAACTTTGTAGAGTCCGTTAACAACGAAAACTGAAGCTTTTTAAGCTCTAGCTTCGGTTCTCGGTGTGGTCCTTTCAACTTATTAGATGCACGCTAATTCCATGGCTGCCACTACTTCTTCTTCCACCTGCACCGCCTTCTTCACTCTCCGATCACCAAACACCGTCGTCTCGAGGGTCTCGTCGACGCAAGCCTCGTCCGGTTGCGGAAAATTTGATGGCGTGGCCATGTGGTTCATCAACGGCCTCACCACGGCTTTCTTCGCATCCCTGAACCGTTGCTCTTGCATTCGCATCGCCACCCAAGAAGACGGCGAAGACGCAAACGATTTGCCGTTGATGCTCAACAACGGAAACCTCCGCCACGACGGTGTCGTTTCGGCCACCGCCAGCAGGAGAAGGACCGGGAAAGGGAAGAAGAGTGAAGCTGCGATCGTCGATGAGGTCTGAACATAGGTCAAAGTGAACACAAAAACACCCTTCCAATCAAAATCAATGTCTCTTAATTTTCTTGGTAAGTGATATAATATTGTATGTATGGGATTATTAATATTGTGCCTTCACACCTTAATTATGTTTTGGAGTGATTTTGGAGAGCCAAAATGAAATTAACAAATTGTCTTCCTCTTTGATATATTATATATACAGAATGAAGAATGGTTAATGTATAATGAAATAAACTAAACAGAACTTGATTTCCCTACATTTAATTTTACCTTTTTCTGCAGTTTTCTGTTGTTTATTAATTTGACAACATTTCCATTCACCATCATGTTAAATTGCCAGTGGATTACTACAGAGTAATTTCAGTAAGATACAATTAATATGATAAATTATGAATCCCTTCTTGTGCTTAAACTGGTCATTCATTTCTTATCAATGAAGAAATAAAAATGGGAAAGGAAGACAATAATTAAAGTGATGGGGCGTGTAAGAATTAAGTTGGGAACATGATTATTGGGATCGCAAAGAATATCATACCTGTTTGGTAGCTTTTGATGTGTGTGGAAATTAATTTTAAAATAACAAGTTGCCGAGATTTGGTTTACTATTGTTGATTGAGCATGTTCTGTGGACTAAAGTTGGTTTAAAAGATGAACATTTACACACACTCTGTCACTCGATTGTTTCATGTTTGATGATGTTGTCGTTTGGGTTGTGATGATTGCGTTGTTTGGGTGGACAGTGTTTCTTTAACTTTTAAAATTTTGTCCCTTGACTTAACATCAGCAACAAGGTATCCAAGAAATAGTAGAAGACGCGTTTCCAAGGTGCTCCGTGACAATTAAATTAACTAACGAAGTCAACCTTCATTTTTTGCTTTCATTTCATCATTTTATATATTTTAAAACATTTTCAGTCATACTTAATATAAAACAAAATAATACATTTTATATGAATATTATACTATTATTAAATTAACTAATATATTGATTAAAAATAACTAGAAAAAAATTATCTATCCCTATAAATATCTTGGAATATAAAACCATAATATAATAAATAAACAATGTTAATATTATTGTAAAATTTTAGAGATCACTGCAATAAACTTCTGAACTAATGTTAACCACCACTCTCATTTCACTAGTCCTTAAACGAGGGAAACTAAATAATTTATTTAAAATTGCAAACCAAATGATAAATAGCCCGATTTATTTATCAATTAAAAATTATATTTCTATCATAAATTCTAATTGGAAATGATAAAATAAGTCAATTTGGATTGTTTTATACGTGTAGTCTCTAATATACAATAAACGAGAGGAAGGGATTACTTCGTAGTATTCATCACAAATTACAAATTTTAATTTCTCTTATCATAACATAAATCACGGGTTAATGACCAGTCTATCTATCAATAAATAAATTTACAAAATTATTATATTTATATATTAAAATATTTAATTATAATTAATATTTATAATTTAAATTATAATATTATAATATAATTACCTATTAAATATAGTTTTTTAAATTATATATTTTTTAATTTAATATATAAATATTTTTTAAAACATATATTTGAGTGATGCATCTCCATCCGACAATTTTGAGATCAAATCACCCATAGCATATTATATAAACTAAATTTATTATACCTAACACATGTAAGATTATATTAATTGTTTTTCCAAACTAATTATAAAAACTTTTTTTCTTAAGAATTGTCTGAATCTTTATTTTTTATTTTTTATATAGGTTAATTTAAATTTATAAAAAAATTAATTTTTTATTATTTTCTTTTGAATGTTTTTAGGAAAAATGTTTTTACAAAGACCAATAATCCTGTTTAATTACACCTGAGCACGGGTTTGAATTGGCTATAACCTAAAAAAACACATGCACATTGTTATTTTATGTACAAACTTTCTTGAAATTAAATACTTTTTATTTTTAAAATAATTTTATTGGTTTTTGTTTTGTTGTTCATTTATTACTATGTTTTGTATATTAGTATTATCATTAAAAACATAACACTTTTATGAAAAAAATAAAATAAAAGAGAGAATAATTATGTTGTCGGTTTTTTTTATTATTTCCTCTAAATTTTGTAAATCGGAAATAGATGATGCAAGTAAAATACCTATGAATATATTAGTTTAAAATTTGTGTAATCGTGTGGACAAAATGACATGCTTAATTTTGATTTTTAAACTTTAAATTATGTTTACTTGAATAATTTTTTTTCAAATAAAATTATATTTGATATGAGAATTTATTGTAACTTAAATAAATCTCAAAATTAAAAAACACTTAAAGGATCAACATGTGAACATGACGCGGAACCCATTATGAATTATCCTGACGTGTCATAAAATGTGGAAGCAAGTTGAAACTAATGCAAAGTTTACATTTAATCGAGGATTTAATTTTTATATATAATATATTATACATACATTTTTTTTTTCATTTACTTTCCATAATCGATCATTGTCCTTCTTCTTCGGTCACCACAACTATTTGAAAAAAATAAAATAAAATTACTTTGCAAAAAGATCACGGTTGAAGTGGTGTCTCGTCTAGCTTTCTTTTAATCCGTAGAGCTTACAACAATTTCTTAAATAATATATTTAAAATAAAAAATTACTTAAATAAAAAAATATATAAAATTATTTATATTTATTATTAATATACAAAATTTAACAATGGAACATAAATTCATGTGATATAATATATATATTTTATTTTATTTTTTATTTAGTTCTTTTTTTCTCTATTTTTGTATTTGTTTTTTTCTTCATAATTTAACCTAATTATAATTACTCATAAATATTTATTATTTTTTAATTAAATAAATAAATAATTATTTACATTATCATAACTAAAATAATTTATTATTATTGAAAATATAATTATTTACTATCATCATAATATATATATATATATATATATATATATATATATATATATATATATATACACACGGACAGACCTGATATATATATTTTAATAATTATAAAATAACAATTTGTAATATTTTAATTTTACAACATAATATTTTATAAAATATAATATATAAAATAATATTTTTTGATAATTTGAATATTATTTTTAAAAAATAGTAAAAAAATCATTTTATTAAATTTTAATTTAATATTTTTAATTAAAAAAATAAGATAAGTGATAAGAAAAAAAACAAGTACTTAGATAGAAAATAAAATGGAGTGAATGAAAAGAAAAAAAATAGAATAGAAAGTAAAATATATGGATTATATATATATATATATATATATATATACATGAATTTATTTCATATTATTAAATTTTATGTATTGAGTAAATAAATTTATTAAAATTTTATTTAAGTAATTTTTTGTTTTAAATATATTATTTAAGAAATTGAATCACACAAAGCCATTCTAATATATTTTCAATAAATATATGTTAAATTTAATTACTTTTTAGCATAAATATATAGTTTAAAATTACTTATTTTAATAATAATATATTCTAATATTTTAATAATTTAATTTCTCTAAAAAATTTATATATTAACAAATATTTATCATATCCACTAATTCAGAGGAACAATTTATAAAGAAAATAAAAGGTTATTATTATTATTATTATTATTATATATATATATATATATATATATATATATATATATATATATATAATATTCGGTTCCTGTATATGATATAATTCTTTATCACTCTCATTTTTAATGCCGTAAATTATTTATTTATGTATTTTATTTTTCAACAATAAACACATATATACGTATATTGTTTCTTCGGTATTTTTCATCTTATCTCAGTTTCATAATTAAATAAGGAATACTGAACATTGATTAATAAGAAATTGAAAACATTATTTATATTAAATTGATTAATAATAATTGGATATAAAAAATGGAAAGCATAATTGAGGATAAAAAGTAAAATATAAAAAAATATTTAGAAACAAAAAGCAAACAGGAAATATATGTGTGTTAGTTTAACTCCGTTACTGATTTATTACTTATTAAAATTATAGGCTTTATTCATAAAAATTTAAAATATATTAAAAGATTAAGTAAAGGTGAAGATGGTTTTATTTGAGTTGGGCCATGGCCCTTCCCGCGAAATTGAGGAAAACACTGAATTGGGCCTAATTGATAGGAAAGAAAAAAATTAGAACTCGCCGTTGCCGGGGATCGAACCCGGGTCACCCGCGTGACAGGCGGGAATACTCACCACTATACTACAACGACCAAGTGATAAATTTTAATCAAACATAATAAAAATCTATAGATAAATTTAGTTGTATTTTTGTGACCTGGTGGAGTGTCAAAGCACCGAACAACTTCTGTACCCTTTCTCCTTCTCGAGCACTGTAGAGATTTGGAAGTTCATCATCGCCTACAAATCTTGGCTATAAACCCTAGACTAGATTTATTTATTGAAAATTGATAACCGAAAGCAATTGAGAAGATGCTTGGCGATGGAGATGAAACCCCCTCAAGGTACATTCAATTTAAGGATAACGTTTGTGTTCTTCTTTGCTCTCTTTTTTGTGGCTTCAGTCGTGTTCAATTTTATGATAATGATTCGGTTGTGGAAGATAATGCAATCTCTCATGATGTTGCATCCTGCATTATTCTCTTTACCGACTTTCTTCTTTTGGATGCTAATAATACTGTCCTGCATCAATCCGTTTTTGTCATTTTGGTAAATTGTGGTCATTAGTTTGTTTGATTTGTGCTCCTAAGGTATGAATTGTTGAGCATGGTGAAGAAGCACTCCAACTTAATTGGGAAAACGGTAGTCGAGGAGCAAGATGCTTCTGATATCGAGATGGATATGAGGTTTTGGCACGATGTCTTTGATTTGTATTTCGTCTGTGGCAAGGAGTCAAGGGGACGCCAGGATGATGATCTTGTCTTCTTTGTTAGAAAATTGGTATGTTGTCTTTTTCAACTGAAAACATTTTTTGTTCATTTGTTGTTAATCTTTTGTTCAGACGGGTTAACAGTGAATTACCATCTTTATGCTATGTTCTTTGATTGTAAAGTTGGATTGGAAGTAACATTAAGTGTTGTTTTCCTACAGCGTTCCCCTGGTTCTGGTTCCAACAATAAAACAGAGAGCGTTGAGCCTTATTTTGTACGCAGGTGGGCACCTAAGGTAAATTCAACATTAAAATCTATTGAAAGATCTCTTACACGTGTGTGCAAACACTATAAGGGTCTGCAGAAGTTCAAACTCCCAAAGTGCTTTTTATCACTGTTCTCCAGCTATATAATAAATTGTTTTCCTGAGTGCTTTATACATATGATGATAGTATTCTAACTGGACTTTCTCCTCTGAATCATTTACATCCTCAAAGAAGAGCAAAAACATCTAAAAAATGCTTGTTACTGATTGATCCTTTACCCTGCTCATGCAATCAAAATTGTTATCGGTGTTTGAGACTTCAAGTGTCAATGGAATTCATGAATATCTAGTTGTTAAAAAATCCAAAATTCGTAATAAACCAACGTGTTAATGTAATGTAATTTTTTAAAACTTGTACTACGTCTTTTATTTGGGTTTGGGCCTTAACCTAAAAAATTAGCTTGTCCCTTCTTCTTTATGTTATTTTGGTCATATCACTAGTCAATATATGATCCTTGACAAATATCTCTCACATTGAGGATTGAACATCTAAAGTTTGAGATTCAAAGACTGGACATCTACCATCTCGGTGATCCAATAGGTTTAATAACAAACCACTAGGATAAAATTGATAACGCATTAGAATTTTGGTTTAGGCCTAACTCAAATTCTAAGATAGTATCACAGCCTAATTAGAATCTAGGTATCCCTTAAAAAACCCTGAATTTTAGGTTTCAATTTGTGCTAATTTGAGATTAAAGTTGGGAGAGCCCAAAATCACTTTTTCTTTGTAAGCAACGATTTCTTGCTTCTTCATTTGGTGCATTGGAATTCACAAAATCTCTTTTCCAAATTTTGATTCAAACGTAATCGGAGTGGTTACCCTTGGGATATTATGAGTTGAATTGTGAAAGTATTGAGTGCATGAAGGCGCTTACTTATCTTGTGGCTTTGAATTATTTACCTTGTGAACCAATTCTATATTTTAATTGGTAAAATCCTTATGGCTTATTGGATAACTCTTTTGACGTAGGATTTGGTTGTCCAACCATTGTGATGCCAAATAATTTTGTTCACTTTTTCTCAACCAGTTGGGCGACTTAGTTGATGAAACTACTATAGATGTGGACTGGAGGCGTTCATTTTACTTGAATTTAATTGCTCATACATCATTCAGTGTAACAGTTGCAATTTGCAGGTAATGATTTTCTTTCCTTAATTTTGTCTTCACCAATGTGTTTCAACATGCCTAATTTTTTAGATGCTTTCACAACTATTCAGGTTGCCTCTAAGATTTATTTCGTTTGTACCATGGTCATATGCATGCATCGGTTATTTTTTGCAGAGTCTGCAAAGAACTGATCTCCTACTTGTTTTGTGAAATATTACCTAGATAGATGAGTTCTATGATTGCATTATCATGTGGCCATTTCTCATCAGCAAGATTTCCTTTATGTCAAATATCAAAGCTCATTTCAGTTTCATCAGTTTTTTTACATATTTTTTGTTTCATCATTATATTTTTAGTTGTAATTGGAGTAACTTTGCAAAATTTGATTGAAATATTCTAAAACTTTAAAGAATAATCATATATATGTTTTTAAGGCCAAGCAAGGGTTTGCATAAACTTTATACATCCTTATAATTTAGGATTATTATTTATATGATCCTGCAATCATTTATCTAGACAATCTGATTTGAGCTATCTATTTCTCTATCTAGTCACCAGGATCTTCTTAATCATCGAACTGGGCATGATACACCTTTATCCCCTATATATAAAGTAAGTGTATAATGAATCTCTACCATTTGTAATTGTTTGTAAAGATAATGTTCAATTTTTTTATATTTGTTCTCCTCCCCCCTTTTGTATTATCTAATATCCTTTGGTCAAAATGAACTTACAAATTATGATAATATGGCAATTTAAGGTTCAGAGGAAAGTGCAGATTTATCAACCCTTAGTCCTGTTTTGGTGGGATGATGATGAATCATTTCCATCTTTACTGCCAAATATTTTAGTCATGTCTTTCTGTCTGTTTCAATTGTTTTTGTTGTGTTATTTTTTGTATTGATTAATTTCCATAACAAGACCCTTTGGGATTGTCCCAAATTCCTTTGCACAATTCCCGGATGTACTTCTATTCTATGATGATGAATTTCAGTTTTAATGGCTTCAGATCTGGAAGTGTGACACTGTGAGTAATTTCTAGGTTTCTGTTAGTTTGAGGTTAATAGCTCTTTTATGAAGGTTAAATTTATTTCTCGGTAGTATCTTCTCAACAGTGGCGTGTTGGAAGTTTAAAATGTCTAAAACTCTAAATGTAAATTACACATAATATCCTCTGATTTGGCAGTGTGGTCCTTTCACTTGCTCAGGTTGTGAAGACTGTTTACGCATCCCCAAGTCGTGTAAATTTTCAATTGGACTCTCGGAAGGTAAGTATACCTATCTTTTTTCGTTTATACCCAAGGGAAGAAAGAGTGAATACTATTGTATTTAGATACTTTATACTTTTATTGACAATTACACTGTCTTTGACATGTGTAGGAAGTGGAAACAACTCCTGCTTATCCAGATATATGTTTTGCAATTGATGATTTTGACTCCACGTTTGATGCTGTGGTAATAAATCACTTTAGTAAGTTATTACATTTTCATGTATGGAATGTTTATACTTACTCAACATATTCTGTGGTTCACATTTTCTAGTTAACTAAGATGATAATACTTAAATATGCCTTGTTTTGTCTTGCTTGTTTCATATTGCAAAACAGGTTTGGGTTGAAAAATAAAGTTACTTTGAGAGGCTCTGCTCTTTTATTTTATTTTTATAAAACCCTTGTAGGTTTGTGAAATTTGTGTTTCCATTTAACAAAATGTATACTAGTTACAGATTAATGCCTGATCTTGTTAATTGCTAATGCTTATGCTGTTTAGTTAAGAGCTGATTTTTTATTGATATTATTAATGCTAAATTCCTAATTCACATTGTCATGTTGTAATCTCTTTAATGCTTTCTTCTGGTTGATTGCGACTTGCCCCATATGAAGTGTAGACATTATTGAAAACATTTTGCATTCTGATTGTAATGACTTCATGAAGTCTTGGTGATTTTATTTCCCTGCAGGTTTTGACTGAAAAAGATCATTGCTATTGTGTAGTTCTAAACGCACATGACGGGGCAGCATTTCCAAGTGAGAAGGAGTCAAATGATTGTAGTACTAGCGATAGCTCCTCTTCGGAAGTCCATACTAGATCTGGAAAGAAAAAGGATACAAAGGTTTGATTACTTCTTAGTTACTATATTGAAATTTATTTTCTTTTCTTTTCAGATTTTAATAATCTGCTCAGTTCTTTCCTTTAATAATTTTTGTTTTATTTAAATGCTGGATAATAGGGGACTCTATACTCCTCGTACATGCTTTAATATTGATGATGAAATATACAGCTGAAACATTTGTCACCTTTTGCACATGGCACGGCTAAAGATAGTGCTTGTTCTTTTTAATGAAATGTGAACGATTATCTTTACATTTCGCTGATTATAGCATGGACAGAATAATTTGGAACTATTTATACTACTTTCATATGTATCTGGTTTTACAAAATCAAATTCGGTGGCAAGAGGAACTTCCAGTCTTAAACAGGTGTAGTTTTGTTGTTTATAAACAATTTGTTTGCAGGACATACTGCGACAGAACAGCTTAAGTTCAACATAATAATACCATACCTGAAATGGATACTAGAGTGTTAGTTCCTAATGGGCTTTCATATATGGTGTGAGATGTTCTCTATAACCACTGAAATCATGCCCTTTTTATTGATGAACCACGTTTTATTTTCAACATTCTCTGTCTCATTCATCAAGTATCTTCTTGAATCATTTGATGAGAATGTCAACAAACAAAACTTATGCACAACTTAAATAATTAACTTTTAAACATTCTGATGTTCTGATACCTCCAATTTGCAGCTTACCCTTTTCTCAGGATTTGTCAGCTATCAAATGGTTCGAGATGCTTATGATGGTAATTGTTGCGGATGTATTTTTTCACATTTAACATATTGTCACCGGAGTATTTTACCAGATATGTCGGTGTCGATATATTCCTTTTCTTGACTTGTTAATGTTATTTTGAATCTCTGAATCTTTTACAACTCCATTATCCATGGTTTGGTAATTTTATTCATCCTTGCTGAAAAACCAGTGCCCAGCCGTGTTATAGATAGATATGCTATGTAAATACACATTTTGGTATGGCATTGTTTAGTTCACTGATGTATACATTAGATATTCTCTTTTTTTATCTAATGTATACAATTTTTTTTAATCTATCAAAATAGTCTCCTTTATATCTTTAAATTGTATTGATATAATTTATAAGAAAAAAAAAAGATTTCGGATTACACTTTATAATTTCTATTTACAAAATATTTACATGAAAGCAGTTTAATGGATTAATATTTTGTAGTCTTATTTGTTTTCCTCTTCCTTTAAAGAGACTTTTCCCTCTTAAATGCTACGGCAACACTTTATTTCCTTTACACGGGGAAATTCCACAAGCTCATTATGTTGTAGATAGCTAATGGGTGCCACATACCATACATCTGTTGTCTCATTTGTCAGTTACAAGATATTCCCTCTTGCTTCACTGCAGCTGGCAGGTCTCGATTTGGGAGCCTTTTATCAGTGGGCCATTCTTCTGGCAAAACAGACAGGATTTACATGAAAGGTCCTGGAGGCAGAGGGGAAGTTGAAGTAGCCGTTTCTGGTGTTGTAGGTAAGAATCCATTTTTGGCTGGGGTTTCCAAAATTTGCATTGATATTTGAAAAGTTATGAAGTTTTTTACCTTCCGGGATAAGATATTATAAAGTATGACTAAACATTCATCAAATTGAAACATGGCGTGCATATTACTGTTTGTTTTACGTTATGTGATTCCGTATTAAATTTTATTCTATCAGGATAGCAAGTGCTTCTACAGTGTCCATAGGGTTAAACACTTCATAGATAGATAAGATCAAAGGCTCAGGCATTACTGTTTCTTGTTTGACTATTCTAGCCAAATATGTTGTGAAGCCTGTGTGTGTATACTTCCAACCTTATCAATTACAAGGTTCATATAATGATGGCTGAAATATAATATCTCTGTTGCAATGTCAGATCAGAGCCAGGAGGATTCAGGCCCATTTTCTCCAGTTATATCAAGAAAAGGGTTTGGGCTTGGCGTTATTGTCCGTAGAGCAGCTTCCGCCGCATCAGTAGCAGCAAGGCATGCTTATGCAGCGGCCTCTGCCTCTAGCTCAAATTTCGATGAGTTGATACCTTTGAAGTGCAGCTTAATGTCCATATCATTGCCCTGGGAATATATTGCGTATGATCTTCTGTTTAAGGTGAAGTTTTGTGTTGATAAGTTAGGGTAATGAAATGGCATATTGGCATGGCTTTTAGTAAAATATTAGTTTGCATCTGATCTTGACAAGTTGCTTGGTTTGGATGTGTTACTATAATAGCACATTCCGAAATAAAGATTAATTAGCTACTTACTTGAAATGGCATGTTTTATTCTCATTGATCCGCTTCGATTTTATTTAACTGAATCGTACTGATTATAATAAGTTCGATTGTGAAATTAGGGAGCTCCTCCAGTTACCATGTGATCACCAATTGAATCTGTGGGCGCAAAGAAAACTGAAAAGGGAGATATCTTGGGGCACAATATTTTTCTTGGATATGAAATTCGTTTATCTTCTGACAGAGTTGTCTTTGGTGCATGTTGTGCACGTGCATAGTCAGAAATGTGCATATTTGGTGTTGGGTTGAGTATCCCAGGGTACTTTGTTGCATCTGGTTATAAATCTGTGTTAGTGTATATGTTGGATTATTGTAATTTTGATATTTTCAATTACTAGGCTAGGTTCTTCCTGACTGAGGCTTTTTTAATTATTTTAAAAATTACGATTCCTCTTAACCAATTCCACTAGAGAAGATAAAAGGTGAAAGAACAGGTTTCCGGTCAAAGCTATTGCACGCAGGCAACGATTGCCACTAAAAACGGGACTTTTAAATTTATTTATGAAATGTATCCACTTTTTGTGTTAATCTTCATAAATAACTTCATCCGTGAGTGTAAGTGCTAGCGTTTTTGTATCACAGATAGATGTTGGGTTGTATTGGTTAGAAATTTTTAGTGACCTGCCTATTCATCTACAAGTGGTAAACTCTTGAATAGCCAATTTGTTTCTCATTTTTAAACAGCCACGTCATCTTAAAATAATAATAATAATAATAATAATTATTATTATTATTATTATATCTTTTTGACAACAAGTTCACTACATTACCAAAATTTTAAATCATTGCGATTTTGTCCATGGTTAATTTTCTTATCTATATTTCTCTTATATATTACGATATTATCATATTTAAAAGTACACGCTATGATATTATCATATATAAAGTACACGCGAGGATAGTGTAAGATCTTTTACGGTGTTAATAGTCATCGGAAAAATATCCTCCATTGTTGTTTTTAGTTCTTGCAAGGATTTTATCAAATATTCTCTAAGGGAAAAAATTGACAATTTGAATATTCAAAAAGTAATAATTGTATTAGTAACATCGGTCATAATTTATTTACTACTTTGATTAATTATTGGTATGGTTATTTTTTCTACAGCATTTATGATTGCAAGAAGTCTCTCCTAGATTAGTCTACTTTTTTGAGAAATCTATTATCACTCATAGGTTTGCTGGTGGAAATTAATAATGTTTTATATATGTGTGTCCATTATCTGATCAATCATACAACATAATAATATACTCTGGGCATTGAATATAGTTACATACATAGAATGTCTGAATATTGTTTATTGTATCACATACTTCACGTGTATAATCTTCGATAATTAAATTTGGTTTTCAAGTTAATTTAATAGCGCCAATTGTTTTCAGCATCGCATGCAAGTGATCGAACGCATTGTTCATGACTATGTTCATTGTAAATGCATCCCTTTCGTCATCACACACCCATTTCAGTCACTTATCTTAGTGTTATGAATAATTGTACTTATTTTACCAGATAATGCTGCACCATGCAACAAATATATGTAATTAATTTCTAGTCTAGTAGATAAAGATAGAAATCCGAAAGTATTTTATCCTTCTCAAAGACTCCCAAATTATATATAATTATTTCCTTCATTTTTTTACCCCACATTCTGAATTGTAATAATTTGCCAAGAGAAGCCAACAAATTAAAAAAAAAAAAAAAAAAATTGGGTGAAAAATTATACGATGAAGCTTTACAAGAGGGCATTTCGCTCTCCCCTATGTGTTGGAGATTTGTTCCCTGTTGTCTAAAGAAGCAAAAGCTAAGTGATTAACTACATGGGATGCAATGTGTTTATTGTAATGTTATTTTGGCCTCAAGGTCCTACTAACTGCCTAAGGTTAAGGGAAGGAAACACGGCAGTGACCAAAAGGGACCCTTGCAGTAGATAAAGCAGAAGCACCTATATTGTACTATTCTTCTTTCCATTACATTTACTTGCATTGATGCACATGCAAGCTACTTTAGCAAGCTAAAAAAAAGCGTTTGCTTCGTTATCTTTTTCCTTCATTTAATTAATCAAGGTTAACTAAAATGGCAACCCAAGTGATTGCATGTTATCCCCCACTCAACACTGGTGCTTTAATATTTGCTAATAGTCCAAGGAACCAACTACCAACCAATACAAAATTGCCCCCATGTTAAAACAATCCTCAACTAAGAAAACTACCCAAGAATACTCCTCTCATTGTGTAACAAAGAAGTTGAAAGTTACACACCAACGTATATATAGCAATATCCATCAGGGTTTCGTATCTTTAGGCCACTTCACATTCCTTTGGAAAAACTAGTGGGAAAACTAGTTATATTTTACATAGACAAATGTACTTAATACGATTAAATAGACACATTCATGTGTGTATGAACGCATCCACGTCTCCATACATTTGATAACTAGATAGATAGTGATTTTTGCTTTCCCTTTTTATCATCTACTTTTTCGTTTTTCACCTCCACACACTTTCAATTGCCATTTTCTTTCGTATATTTGTTTATATCCCTGTCATCTTGACAATGCTGTTACTTGATATATACGAGTAGGTCACTTTTTCCCAGAGATTCCATTGGTCGTTTACACAATATCTCGGGAACCCTTTTCTATGTTCTTATGCAATAAAGAAATAAAATATTATCATGATAACTAGACCTTTTTAGCTGTTAACTTTTTAAATGGTGGCATTATGCTCTGTGTATTGATCATAGAAAATTATTTCCACAATATATTTTTACTATGACGAAGTAGGATTAATTTCCTCTTCTTCTTTTTTTTCCTTTTACTTTTCATCATCTCCACTTTTACATGCTTAAACTGTGTAGTCAAATAATTACATGCTTATTTGTATGTAATAAAGTCTTACAAAACAGATGAATTTTACCATTATATAATGGGATATTGTTGTAGTAATCATATGTATCAAACTGAGAGAATTTAAATGTTATAAATAGATAACATTTCTGTTTTTTAATGGTGGATACGTGGGTTTGGAGGAGGAAATAATGGATTTCTAGTCACAAACATAAAAGCTACATAGACCAACACAACACTGCACAACATTCTCACGAATAATGAATTTACTCAACATTTCAAATTTATATTTTTATTGCATCATTTCATTTTCCTTTTCTCTGTGGGACAGAAGTTAGATATATTTGTTTAAAAATACTTTTACCTCTGCTTTATAATTAAAATTAAAGTGTAATTTTGGTGTCAGGAAGCTTTCTAATCATGTTTGATGTTTAAACGTTTTTGTTTGATCCTTCGTCATTAAGATAAAGCTAATCTCCCCCAAACAACACCCTATTATTTTTCTTACCTTAACAAAAGCTTACCCCATCTGAATCCCCCACCACCCACCCCACACACTAAAGCTTGCATGAAACACTATCCCTTCTCTCTCCAGTTTTTATTTCTCCTAAACTCAAAAATAAAAACTTGACATAAAAAACCCTAATTATGCTGATTAATCACTTTTTTAAAAGGTTAGCATCAAAACGTACTTACATTAATTCATTAAAAAATTATTACTATTTTTTGTGACCAGTAAGTTAGTTTTCCAAAATCTTTTGCACTAGTGGACCCCACATGTTTCTTTCCCACTCCTTCAAATACCCCTCTCCTATGCTTCCATTCCTCCCTTTTCTCTTCCTTCCTCCTTTGGTTCACTCTTTTGAATTTCCCGGTTTTTTTTTTTTTTTTTACTCTCGTTCTTATTTTGCTCTTCTAAGCCATGTTGCTCCACGAAGAGGTTCAGTTGCCATGTTCTCCTGTTCACGAAATCATGCTGACCGAAACTGAAATAGAGGACTTGTTTTCTCTCATGAACCAATCGAGAGACCTGGCCAGCCCGGGGTCCGGTTCACAGGGATCGAACCGGGCGGTTTACTCGCCAGAGGAAAGAAAGCTGAGACGCATGCAATCGAACCGTGAATCGGCTAGAAGGTCCCGCTGCAGAAAGAAGAAGCATCTTGAGAATCTGACGAGCCAACTGAACCGGTTGAGACTCCAAAACCGTTTTCTCAGAAACCGACTCTCCTTAACCATGCACCACCACCTTCTACTATCCCTACATAACGATCATCTTAAATCCGAAGCTATTGCTCTCATGGCCTCTCTTTCTGATCTATGTGGGATTTTATTTTAGGCTCCATGCTTTCACATTAATATATTACACCACCCTTCGTCATAAAAACCAAGTAACAAAGCAATGACACTCTATATATAATTTATATATTAAACTTCTCTATGTTCCTAGCCACATATATAATCATAGAATAAAGTTCTCATCTACTTCACGCATTGAACCATTGAAAATGGTTGGTTGGTGCTTCGAGGTAGGGGAAGAGTAATGAATGCCATAGCTAGCTAGAAGGTACTCCTTTACGTTATTTTTTTGAGGGGTCAAGTTTTTTCTTAATTTCTAGGTCTAGGAAGAGGAAAACATGGTTACGTACGTGCAGTGTAGTGGGTGAAAGAAGCCCCACGTTGTTGGAAGTACGACGTAGGGATTTTGAGGGTCTACTTTTTTTTATCATGTTGCCACCTTTATCTTTTGGGGGTTATGTTTGTAAATTTGTGTAACATTAGTCAGTGGTCAAAACCATGAATTGTGTTTGGTGTCAAGAAAGTTTGAATCTCATATAATGTAAATATATGCTAGCTATTGGCAAATCAAGGAATCCATTCATCTTGTTTCGTTAGAATTTTTTTTTTGTGTCTTTTTGCATAATCTTCATTTCAATGTTTCTCCTACTTAGACTTGACTCATGCCTAAGGGATTCCTTCATGTACCCAAGAAACAAGTGTCGATAAAATGAGGTTGCGATTGTGAGGTCATACATACATAAGGACCCACACGTGAACCATTGTTTCTAATCATGTGACGAAAAGTACTTTTTGTAGCAGCGACGTGACATGAGTTAAGAAGAATAGTGACAGATGTAATGAAAATAGAACAAAAGTATAAGAGTATTTCTCTTATTAGAGTACTTTTATTAGTGCTTATTTTTTTATATAACGAAAATGTCTCTTTATAATATTATTATTTAATTATAATAATTAAATTAAATTATAAAAAATTCAAGTATAAGTAAAAGACAATTAAAAATGTGGATTTTATAAAAACAAAATATGTAAAAGTTGTTTAAAAATAATATGGAATGGTGGGAATTGGATTAAAATGAGGCAATATGAAAATTTATTATAAGATATTTTTACTATAATTATCTAAAATTAGGGTTTATGTGTTAATTTTACTATTAAAACTTAAATATTACAGTATCTGCGCAATAAACATTTATAATTTCATACCATGTTTTCACTACTAGAAAATATACTTTCAACGTCGCCGTTTAACGTCGGTTACATCTTAGCCGACGTTGAACATGCTTTCAACGTCGGTTGGTCAAAAACCGACGTCGAAAGTCGAATTTTGACACATTCTACGTCGTTTTAGCATGCACGACGTGGAAAGTAGGCTTTCAACGTCGGTTATACCCTAACCCGACGTTGAAAACCCTTCTGAACTCATTATGACCGATCAGAATACAAATATGACCGATCAGAATCAAATGTGATCGATCAGATTTTAATTATGAGCGATCAGAAGTTTTTCAATCGATTAAAAACACGTTTCAATCGATTAAAATCTCTTAAAGTGTCAGGATTCTACGTCAAGTAGGCTTTCAACGTCGGTTATGCCCTAACCCGACGTTGAAAACCCTTCTGAACTCATTATGACCGATCAGATTACAAATATGACCGATCAGAATCAAATGTGATCGATCAGATTTTAATTATGAGCGATCAGATCAAAAGTTTTTCAATCGATTAAAAACACGTTTCAATCGATTAAAATCTCTTACAGGGTCAGGATGATCGATCAGAATCCTGTTATGACCGATCAGAACTATTTTAATCGATTAAATCTCGTTTCAATCGATTGAAATATATGACTGGAGATAAAACGAGTTTCAACGTCGGGTGTGGGTATAACCGACGTCGAAACCCCGTTTTCCCATTAATAGGCTACCATTTTTGTATCTCCCCTTACTCTCCAACATCGCACCGACTCCCTTACTCTCCAAGCATCGCGACCACCACCTACCACCGTGATTTGGACTCTCCGGACGCCCTCCCTCATGTCGCCACCGCGCACCGCGTGACACCCCCGCCGCAGCACCTCCACCCCACTGCAGCTTCCACCCCACCGCGACGCTAGTCGCCACCCTCCACCACGACGCTAGTCGCCCACCGCGACGCTAGCAGCCTCCACCCACATTGCATTGCATCCTAACGCCACCACCCCATTGCATTGCATTGCAGCCTCCAACCACATTGCATTGTCCGCTCACCACAGCCTCGACCCTAACGCCGCATTGCATCCTCCACCTCCACCCCAGTGCAGCGCTGCTCTGTTTCTCTGTGGTGCGAACCTTCATCGCTGCCTTAAACCACAGGTACGATGTTGTTGCACTTATATTTGTTGGGCAAAGTCATACAATTTTACTTACTACATTTCATAGGTAGAGATTGTTAGTCATTTGCCGTTAACTGTTGATTCAATTCTTAGTCATATTATAGTTTTTTTCAATGTATTGATGATGTGTACAATTATACTTGAACTGCTTGAATATGCCCGTGGGGCTTTTATTGTCAGGTTTCACTGTGTCATTTAAAATTGTTGCCAAAAAACAAAGGAAACTCTGCCGGATTTTTGTTAGAAATTAATCATGAAGTGTGAATTCTAAAACTACATATAACAATGTAGTTATATAAGTGATGGTAGTAACAATGAAAACTCTATAATTTCAATTTATACAAATTTGGTTTTGACCAAAAAATAGACGAAATTCTGTTGAAATTTCGTTACAAATTAATCTACTTTGGTATAGATTTCATTAGAGATAACGATTATTAGTAATAATCGTTTTATGGGTTTCTCATTTGTAGACTCCAATTCCAAAATGGATCGAAGTTGGGTAAATACAAGTCGTATTTCACAAGAGTATGAGAATGGAGTTGAAGAATTTTTGCGATTTGCCGAACACAATGGCACCAAGGTTAATGGAAAATTGTATTGTCCATGCGTTAACTGCGTTAATGGGAGAGTACACACACTAGAGACAATACGGGAACATCTTTTATGTGATGGGATAATGAAGAATTATATCCTATGGACATGGCATGGTGAAGTGATTGATACACCAATAGTAACACAAGCTGAGGAAGAGGAGGATATGACAATGGAAGATCGAATAGAAGACATGATTCGTGATGTAGGTCAAGAGAATTTTCTGCAAGCACATGCTGCTGTCTATGATAAATTGAAGATAGATTCAGAGATACCTCTGTATGCTGGATGTACAACATTCACGCGATTGTCAGCTGTATTGAGATTGGTCAATTTGAAGGCCAAATTTGGTTGGAGTGATAAAAGTTTCACTGAGTTACTAGAAGTTTTGAAAGATATGCTCCCAAGCGATAACACCTTGCCTGATTGTATGTATGAAGCCAAAAAAATAATTTGTCCAATGGGTTTACAGTATAAAAAGATACATGCTTGCCCTAATGATTGTGTATTATACAGAAAAGAGTTTGAAAGCCTACATGAGTGTCCAAGATGTGGTGTATCGCGTTACAAATTGAAAGACAAGGATGATAATAGCGAATGTATTGATAGAAAGAGACCTCCTGCAAAAGTTATATGGTATCTTCCAATTATTCCAAGATTGAAGCGATTGTTTGCCAATGGAGAAGATGCCAAGAATATGATATGGCATTCAACTGCACAAAAACGTGATGGATTGCTTCGTCATCCGGCCGATTCTCCACAGTGGAAGAAAATTGACTGCCTATTTCCAAGTTTTGGCAGTGATGCAAGAAATGTTAGACTTGGACTAGCTACAGACGGCATGAATCCTTTTGGTAACTTAACCAGTAATCATAGCTCATGGCCAGTTCTTTTAGTGATTTACAACCTTCCACAATGGTTGATTTTCAAGCGCAAGTACGTGATGTTATCCATCATGATTGCAGGTCCAAGACAGCCGGGTAATGACATAGATGTTTATCTAAGTTCGTTAATAGATGACTTAAGGCTATTGTGGGAGGAAGGAGTGGATGTGTTTGATGCATATCAACAGCAGAGCTTCAAGTTACATGCAATGTTATTTTGTACTATCAATGACTTCCCAGCATATGGAAACTTGAGTGGGTATAGTGTCAAGGGTCATCATGCTTGTCCTATTTGTGAGGAAGATACAAGTTTTCTACAATTGAAGCATGGAAAAAAGACTGTGTATAATAGGCACAAAAAATTTCTTCCACATAACCACCCATATCGAAGATTGAAGAAAGCTTTTAATGGTCAGCAGGAAGATAAAATTGCCAAACAACCTTTAACTGGTGAACAAGTTTATGAACGGGTTAGAAACATTAATGTTATCTTTGGAAAGACTAAAAAACAGTCGTCTGATAAAAGGTTGTGGAAAAAGAGATCAATTTTCTTTAACCTTCCATATTGGAGTCATCTAGATGTGAGACATTGCATTGATTTTATGCATGTGGAGAAGAACGTATTTGATAGTCTCATTGGCACACTATTGAACATTAAAGGAAAAACAAAGGATGGAGTCAAAGCTCGTCAAGATCTATGTGAATTGGGAATACGTCCAGTAATTACATCCAAGACCTGAAGGCAAGAGAACATATTTACCACCAGCTTGTCACACATTGTCAAAGAAGGAGAAGACTAGTTTATGTCGATGTCTTCACAAGTATTAAAGTGCCACAAGGATACTCTTCAAATATTAAGAGTCTTGTGTCCATGAAAGATCTGAAGCTAGTTGGGTTAAAGTCGCATGATTGTCACGTTTTGATGCAACAACTCTTACCCGTAACTATACGTGACATATTGCCAAAGAATCTACGACATGCAATTATGCGTCTTTGTTTCTTCTTCAATGCTATATGTGCCAAAGTAGTTGATGAAAAATCATTGGAGCAGCTTGGAAAATGAAGTCGTGGTTATATTATGTCAGCTTGGAGATGTATTTTCCTCCATCATTTTTTGACATTATGGTGCACTTAATAGTTCATCTTGTAAGAGAGATAAGACTGTGTGGTCCGATTTATTTGAGGTGGATGTACCCAATTGAGCGATGTATGAAGATCTTTAAAGGGTATACAAAGAATCCATATAGACCTGAAGCTTCTATTGTTCAAAGGTATATTGCAGAAGAAGCTATAAAATTTTGTTCTGAATATTTAGGAAAGGCCCTAGCAGTGGGTGTACCTACTCAACGACATGATCATAGAATAAATGGTAAGGGCACTCGTGGGGTCAAAATACAATAAAAAAATGCTAGTGAGTTGACCAGGGCACACTTGTATATTCTAAACAACACAGATGAAGTTCTTCCTTACATATCTGCTCATCAATCAATATTGAAGACCCTCAACCCC